ATACCTGCCTTCATAAGAGATAACATACCTTTACCTGCCTTCATAAGAGATAACACACCTATACGTGCCTTCATTAGAGATAACACACCTATACCTGCCTTCATAATAGATAACACACCTATACCTGCCTTCATAAGAGAAAACACACCTATATCTGCCTTCATAAGAGATAACACACCTATACCTGCCTTCATAAGAGATAATACACCTATACCTGCCTTCATAAGAGATAACACACCTATATATGCCTTCATAAGAAATAACACACCTATATCTGCCTTCATAAGAGATAACACACCAATACCTGCCTTCATAAGAGATAACATACCTTTACCTGCCTTCATAAGAGATAACACACCTATACGTGCCTTCATTAGAGATAGCACACCTATACCTGCCTTCATAATAGATAACACACCTATACCTGCCTTCATAATAGATAACATACCTTTACCTGCCTTCATAAGAGATAACACACCTATACGTGCCTTCATTAGAGATAACACACCTATACCTGCCTTCATAATAGATAACACACCTATACCTGCCTTCATAAGAGATAACTCACCTATATCTGCCTTCATAAGAGATAACACACCTATACCTGCCTTCATAAGAGATAACACACCAATACCTGCCTTCATAACAGATAACACACCTATATCTGCCTTCATAAGAGATAATTCACCTATTTCTGCCGTCATAAGAGATAAGACACCTATATCTGCCTTCATAAGAGATAACACACCTATATCTGCCTTCATAAGAGATAACACACCTATACCTGCCTTCATAAGAGATAACACACCTATACCTGCCTTCATAAGAGATAACACACCTATACCTGCCTTCATAAGAGATAACACACCTATACCTGCCTTCATAAGAGATAATACATCTATACCTGCCTTCATAAGAGATAACACACCTATATCTGCCTTCATAAGAGATAACACACCAATACCTGCCTTCATAAGAGATAACATACCTTTACCTGCCTTCATAAGAGAAAACGCACCTATACGTGCCTTCATTAGAGATAACACACCTATACCTGCCTTCATAATAGATAACACACCTATACCTGCCTTCATAAGAGATAATTCACCTATTTCTGCCGTCATAAGAGATAAGACACCTATATCTGCCTTCATAAGAGATAACACACCTATATCTGCCTTCATAAGAGATAACACACCAATACCTGCCTTCATAACAGATAACACACCTATATCTGCCTTCATAAGAGATAATTCACCTATTTCTGCCGTCATGAGAGATTATCCACCTATATCTGCCTTCATAAGAGAAAACATACCTATATCTGCCTTCATAAGAGAAAACACACCTATATCTGCCTTCATAAGAGATAACACACCTATACCTGCCTTCATAAGAGATAACACACCAATACCTGCCTTCATAAGAGATAACACACCAATACCTGCCTTCATAAGAGATAACACACCTATACCTGCCTTCATAAGAGATAACACACCTATATCTGCCTTCATAAGAGATAATACATCTATACCTGCCTTCATAAGAGATAACACACCTATATCTGCCTTCATAAGAGATAACACACCAATACCTGCCTTCATAAGAGATAACACACCTATACCTGCCTTCATAAGAGATAACACACCTATACCTGCCTTCATAAGAGATAACACACCTATACCTGCCTTCATAAGAGATAACACACCTATACCTGCCTTCATAAGAGATAACACACCTATACCTGCCTTCATAAGAGATAACACACCTATACCTGCCTTCATAAGAGATAACACACCTATACCTGCCTTCATAAGAGATAACACACCTATACCTGCCTTCATAAGAGATAACACACCTATACCTGCCTTCATAAGAGATAACACACCTATACCTGCCTTCATAAGAGATAACACACCTATACCTGCCTTCATAAGAGATAACACACCTATACCTGCCTTCATAAGAGATAACACACCTATACCTGCCTTCATAAGAGATAACACACCTATACCTGCCTTCATAAGAGATAACACACCAATACCTGCCTTCATAAGAGATAACACACCTATACCTGCCTTCATAAGAGATAACACACCTATACCTGCCTTCATAAGAGATAACACACCTATACCTGCCTTCATAAGAGATAACACACCTATACCTGCCTTCATAAGAGATAACACACCTATACCTGCCTTCATAAGAGATAACACACCTATACCTGCCTTCATAAGAGATAACACACCTATACCTGCCTTCATAAGAGATAACACACCTATACCTGCCTTCATAAGAGATAACACACCTATACCTGCCTTCATAAGAGATAACACACCTATACCTGCCTTCATAAGAGATAACACACCTATACCTGCCTTCATAAGAGATAACACACCTATACCTGCCTTCATAAGAGATAACACACCTATACCTGCCTTCATAAGAGATAACACACCTATACCTGCCTTCATAAGAGATAACACACCTATACCTGCCTTCATAAGAGATAACACACCTATACCTGCCTTCATAAGAGATAACACACCAATACCTGCCTTCATAAGAGATAACACACCTATACCTGCCTTCATAAGAGATAACACACCTATACCTGCCTTCATAAGAGATAACACACCTATACCTGCCTTCATAAGAGATAACACACCTATACCTGCCTTCATAAGAGATAACACACCTATACCTGCCTTCATAAGAGATAACACACCTATACCTGCCTTCATAAGAGATAACACACCTATACCTGCCTTCATAAGAGATAACACACCTATACCTGCCTTCATAAGAGATAACACACCTATATCTGCCTTCATAAGAGATAATACATCTATACCTGCCTTCATAAGAGATAACACACCTATATCTGCCTTCATAAGAGATAACACACCAATACCTGCCTTCATAAGAGATAACATACCTTTACCTGCCTTCATAAGAGATAACACACCTATACGTGCCTTCATTAGAGATAACACACCTATACCTGCCTTCATAATAGATAACACACCTATACCTGCCTTCATAAGAGATAACCCACCTATATCTGCCTTCATGAGAGATAACACACCTATATCTGCCTTCATAAGAGATAACACACCTATACCTGCCTTCATAAGAGATAACACACCAATACCTGCCTTCATAACAGATAACACACCTATATCTGCCTTCATAAGAGATAATTCACCTATTTCTGCCGTCATAAGAGATAATCCACCTATATCTGCCTTCATAAGAGAAAACATACCTATATCTGCCTTCATAAGAGAAAACACACCTATATCTGCCTTCATAAGAGATAACACACCTATACCTGCCTTCATAAGAGATAA